CAAAGTGCTGGGATTACAGATGTGAGCCACTGTACCCGGCCATAATACATTTTCTTTGTCCAGTCCATTACTGATGGACATCGAGGTTTCTCTTGCATTTTAAAAATAAGAAATGGAGGCAGCTAGTAATAAAAATGCTGTAAGTACAAAATTAAAATATGAGGCTGGAAAGTAGACCTATATTCTACAAATTACCTACTGAAGACTTGCTGTGTGCTAGGGGCTGGGCTGGGCACTAAAAATTAAAGGGGAAAGACTAAGTCTCTTTCCTCTAAAAGGTCGCAGTATGGTGGGGGAGGGAGACAAGGAGAAAATCTAATACGGTGAGCAGGACGAGTGCTGAGACAGGCTTGTCAAGGTGTACTAGGAGAAGGGATCCAGAAGGACTTCAGTGAGGAGGGGGTGCTTGAGTGAGGCCCAGTGCCAATCAGGAGTGCTTTTGGCTGCAAGTGATGGGCAATTTGATTCGCAGTGTCTTCAGTCTTAACAATGTTTAATTATCTCATGAGAATTCCAGAGGTTGGTTGCTTGGGGTTGGCCTGGCAGCTGAACCATATCATCAGGCATCCAGGCACTGTTCATCTTGTCACTTAGGTGGTGTGGTGCTTTTGCCACATGGTTACGAGATAGCTGCAGCTGCACCAGGCATCATAAATGGATTCAAGAAAGCAAGCATGGGGAAGCCTGCAAGGCAGGCTGGGGAAGTGGATGGTTTGCTTTCCAGCCTCTCTAACGGAAGGTAGCAAGGGTGAGGAACTTGAACAATCACTCACCCAATCTTGTCTGCATCAGCAAGGAATGACTGGAAGTTCACCAGATGATCAAGGCAGGGAAAAGCATTTCAGGCAGAGGCACACACTGTGTGAAGACGCAGAGGCAAAAGACTCCACGGCATGCTTTCGGAGCACCAGGTAGTTTGGCATAAATTCTATGTTTTAAGCAGAACAGCAGAATGGGAAATAGGAGAGGGGGCCCAGCTAGGTGGGCTCTAGCTTGAGCAGGGCTTCTAATGCCTGGCTGGAGCCTTTATGCTGAGGGCAAGGGAGGACTCGCTCAGATTTGCTCTTTGGAGTGGTCCTCCCAGCAGCTCTGTGTAGCAAGGATGGAGACAGATGGGGCCAGAAGCAGAAAGACTGAGAGAGAAAGCCCTGCAGCCACCCAGGCAAGTAGGGCAGGAGCTTGAACCCGGGCAGTGATGGAGGGATGGAGAGAAGAGAAAGGAATCAGAAGAATTGTGTGCTGTTGGGGTATTTTTAGAGACACAGAGAGGAAGGATGGTGGGGGCTGGTGAGAAGGAGGGGGAAGCAGCCTTTGCCACTGTATGAGTCTCTGCAGTGATGGTGACTGGTGGCTGGAAGGGAGTGCCCAGTCCACAAAGGTGCCTGCCCATCCCTCTGGGTGAAGCCAGCTCTCTGCTACTAGCCTCCATTAGCAAGCCCGCTCTCTGTCGCCCCAGCAGCTCAGAGCCTTTTGAGCTTCCTCCCCTGAATTTCAGATGGTACATTCAGGGTCTGCGACTTTTGTTATCGCCCTAAGAACACAAAGCTGGGAAGGTCCCTTATGAAGTCAGAACGGCTGTGTGTCTGCCAAGCAAACCTGATCCGCCCCAGCCTTGGATCACCTGGCTTCCTTCAGCTCGGTAGACAGTGAGGATGAGCTCGGAAGGGGGAAGGCCAGAAGAGTTTGGCTGCAGGCAGACCCTCTTCTCCATCCAGCAGACTTGTCAGGCACCTGCTGTATCCCAGGACTATTTCTGGGGCACAGCAGCGAACCAAGAATTTAGAGTTAAAAAGAGAGATGGATACTAGTCGGCTGTATGTTTTTGAGGTGCATATTCCAAAATGCAAACTCTTATACAGTCAGAGCTCGTTCTAGAATCCTCCTCAGGGCATATGCTTTTTGTGCATACCCTGTGATTAATATATATAGTTTTTGAGATGGAGTCTTGCTCTGTCATCCAGGCTGGAGTGCAATGGCGCGATCTCGGCTCACTGCCGCCTCCACCTCCTGGGTTCAAGTGATTCTCCTGCCTCAGCCTCCTGAGGAGCTGGACTACAGGCACTCACCGCCACGCCCAGCTAACTTTTTGTATTTTTAGTAGATACAGGGATTCACCATGTTAGTCAGGCTGGTCTCGAACACTTGACCTCAGGTGATCTGTCTGCCTAGGCCTCCCAAAATGCTGCGATTACAGGTGTGAGCCACCACTCATGGCCTAATACATGTTTTTAAAACTAAGTTCTGAAAAGCTGTTTCCCCATGGTTGCCTTTTTGGTTGACCACTGGGTGAAATACTTGGCTTGCATTTTTGCACCCACTTGAAGAAAGATAGCACAGTCTGAAATACCAGAATCGAGAGGCAACTGATGGTCTGTCAGGACCCAAAGGCCAGACCCAAGACCCAGGACCCAGTCCAGGGAGGATGGTGGGCTTTGTTTCTTCCTCCCTGTGCTTGGCCAGTGATGCCCCCAGGCACTGGCTGGGTTATCGGGGATGGAATCAGAGGATGGAAATCATCACGGGGTGGTGTCTTAGGATGTCAGTGCTGGCTATTGGGTGGCACTTTGAAACCTTGCAGTTGACCCAAGGTTGTACTACAGGCGTCTGGCAGAGAGCAAGAGCTGTCTTCTCCAGCATCGGAGCCAGTCCATAGCCCCAGCTGCAGGTGCTGATGTGCATGTCCAGGTGGTGTGGCTTCCACTCCAGCCAAGACAGAGATGAAAACGTTAGTTGAATTTCCAGGAGCCTCACCCTGGAGACAACAGAGGGTGGGTGTGGTGATGGGGAAGGGCAGAGTGCTGTGGGAGACTGGAGTCAGGGAAGGCCTCTTCTAAGGAAGGGTGTGGATGGGGCTGGGCCAAGGGACTCCCAGGGCAGAGCTGCTGGTGTGGGGAAGGCACAGGTGCAAGGCAAGGCAGAGCTCACTGGACATGAGCCAGGAGCACAGAGCACAGGGAAGAGGGCAGAGGGGAGACCACACAGGGCCTGCGATCAAGACTCCATGCTAAACACAACAGAAAACTGTGGAAGGGTCTACGCTGAAAGCGACAGGATCTGACTCATGCTTATTATTATTATTATTATTATTATTATTATTTGAGATAGAATTTCCCTTTTGTTGTCCATCTCGGCTCACTGCAACCTCTGCCTCCCGGGTTCAAGTGATTTCTTGCCTCAGCCTCCCGAGTAGCTGGGATTACAGGTGTGTGCCACCACACCTGGCTAATTTTTGTATTTTTAGTAGAGACAGAGTTTCTCCATGTTGGTCAGGCTGGTCTTGAACTCCCAACCTCAGGTGATCTGCCTGCCTCTGCCTCCCAAAGTGCTAGGATTACAGGCGTGAGCCACCATGCCCGGTCTGTTTTTATTATATTTTTAATTGTGGTAAAAAACACACCACATAAACTTTCCCACCGCACCCACTTTCAAGAGTACAGTTGAGTAAAGGACGTTCACGTGGTGCAGCCATCACCACCATCCATTTCCAGGTTATTCTCATCCGGCAAAATCGAAAGTCTACCCCATTAAATATGGAGTCCCCATTCTCCCAGCTCCTAACAACCACCATTCTTTCGGGCTCTAGGAATTTGACTCCTAGACTCCTCAAATAAGTGGATCTGTGGAGTATTAGTCCTTCTGTTACTGGCTTATTTCACTCATCATAACACCCTCCAGGGCCTCCTGGTTGCAAGTCACAAAGGGTGACAGATGCCAAGCAGGACTCGTGCTTTCAGACTTAAGTTCCTGGGGAGACGGTGATACTAGGTTGGACACGGAGGACTCTGGAGGAGGGGCAACCTTGGCGGCAGTGGGAGGTCGGTGTGGAAGGAAGGACCAGAGTTAAGTACTGGACCTGTTCTGTTTCAGGTGCCTCTGCGGCATCCAAATGGGCAAAGCCAATAGGCAGATATTTTGGTTTTCTGTTGCCGTGCAGCGAACTGCCCCAAATGTATGACAGAAGCAACACGCATGATTTCGTTTTTGTCTCATGGCTTTTATTGTGACTCGTGGCTTTGTGGGTTAGAAATTCTGGAAGGGCTTGGATGGGCGGTTCTGTTCCTCACAGCATCGGGTGAAGCTGCTGAAGTCTTGTCCGGAAGGTCCATGGTCTGGTGCCTTGGGTGGGGGTGGCTGGGAGGCTGGGCTCAGCCCTGACTGGGGCATCCACAGGTGGGTCTTCAGCCTGACGTGGTGGTTGGACTCTACGTGGTGGCTAAGGGTCCCAGAGCCAACCCTACGCAAGATTGAACGGGAAGCAGCCTGTCTCCTAAGGCCTGGGCTTAGAAACTGCATGGGGTCATTTCTGCCATATTTTATTAGTCACGTAGTTGACAGAGCCCATCCAGATTCAAGGAAAGAGATCACAGGCCACCTCTTGATAAGATAAGTAACAAGAATTTACAGCCAACTGGACAGCAGATAGAAAGATGTGGGTTTCAGAAGAGGTCCCATCTTCCCGCCTTCCTTTCTTCTCCTTTTTCCTCCATGTCCCTCTCCTTCCCTCTCTCCCTCCCTTTAAAACGTGTCTCTAGAATACCTACAGAGGGCCGGGCACTGCTGTGAATGGTAAGGGTACGGCTATGACCAAGATCTCTGCTTTTCCTCCTCTGGGGCTTAGAAACCAGGCAACAGCAGGCAAAACCATCAACCAAGCAAGAAAGACCCCCAGTAGTGACATGTGTTAGGCGGAGAAGTGGGAAGGAGGGTGTGGGAGACAGCTCTTGGGCAGCCATTGTACATCAGATGGACCAGCTCAGCTGGAAGGCCTTGCTGAAGGGTGATGTGGGACAGGGAGGGCTGGCCGCGCATGTTCAAGGCAGAGGCAGCTGGTGTGAAACCCCCGGTGGGAGTGAGCGGGTCTGGTTTGAGAAACAGGAAGAAGGGCTGTGTGCCACGTGGGTGGGGTGAATGGGGAGAACGTGGACAGTGGTTAGAAATCAGCTAACAGAGTGCTTTATCACCCCATGTGGGAGTGTAGATTTTATTTTAAATATTTTGGGAAGACTCTGGGGGTTTAATCAAGGTAGGGGCAGGATCTGATTTTCATAAAAGGTTAATCTGGTAGCTGAGTGGAGTCCTAGTGCGAGCTGGGAGACCAGGTAGGAGGCCACCGCCGTGGTCCAGGCGAGAGAGTCCGGCTGGACAGGTGGAGACAGAGAGCCACAGGCGGGCTAAAGATACAGCTTTGGAGGCGCATGGTCAAGATGTGCTGCTGGGCCGATGGCAGGGGGCGTGGTTATGGGAGGAGGAGGGAAATAAGGATGACACCTGGAGCTTTGATGGGCCACCTGGGAGGAGGATGTCGCTGATCAGACGGAGAAATGGGGAAGGTGGGTTGAGTTTGAGATGTGTTTTAGACACTCAAGTTGCCCGTGGAAACTATGAGCCTGGGCTTCTTGGGAGTGGTCCAGGCTGGAGATTTAGCCTGGGAAGTCATAGGCCCATAGTGGGTATTTACAACCAGGTCCTGGGAGAGAGCCCCGGGGCTCATGTGTATAGAGAACAGAAAGGGACCCAGGAAGGAGCTCTGGACCGCCGGCCAACATTAAGGGGCAGAGCAAAGGATGAAACAGCAAAGGAGATGGGAGGGACCGGCCAAAGAGGTAGGAGAGCCCCTAAGAGCCACAGCAGCCAGGGAACAAAGTAGAAGAGAGGGATCTTGGTTCCCGGCCCCACGTGGTGGATACCAAATGCACAGTGCTCAAGTCCTATATGTAAAATGGGGCAGTATTTGCATGTAACCTACCCATCCTCCCGTACACTTTAAGACCTCTCTAGATTACTTCCAATACCTAATACGATTGAAATACTGTGTAAATAATTGTTATACTGTACTGTTTAGAGAACAATGGCAAGAAGAGAGTCTGTACATATTCAGTACAGACACACCCAACCATTTTATTTTTTGAATTTATTTACTTTTATTTTTTGAAACAGAGTCTCAGTATTGCCCAGGCTGGAGTGCAGTGGCACAACCTCGGCTCACTGCAAACTTCACCTCCCCGGTTCAAGTGATTCTCCAGCTTCAACCTCCCAACTAGCTGGGATTACAGGCACGTGCCACCACTCCTGGCTAATATTTTGTAGTTTTAGTAGAGATGAGTTTCACCATGTTGGCCAGGCTGGTCTTGAATTCCTGACCTCAGGTGATCCACCTGCCTTGGCCTCCCAAAGTGCTGGGATTACAGGTGTGAGCCCTGTGCCCAGCCTACTTTTTGAATATTTTTGATCCATGACTAGTTGAACCCATAGACACAGATCCCTGGATACAGAGTTTGGCTGTATCTAGGGAGGGTTCTGTATGGAGTTCTAACGCAGGCTGCGTGTCTCAGTTACCTATTGCTACGTAAGAGACTACCCCAGAGCTCAGCAACTTAAACCATGTACATTGATGCTTTCATAGTTTCTCTGACGTGTGAATCCAACTACAGTTTTAGCTTGTGTCTGTACAGGGCCATTCCCAGGCTGAAACTGTTGGCGGGGGCTGCATTCATTTCAAGGCTTGACTTTGAGAGAGGTGGCGGAGGATTTGTTTCCAAATCTACTCATGTGACTGTTGGCAGGATTCAGCTGCGGCTTGTTGGACTGAGGGTCTGAGTTCCTTGAAGCACTGAGGGTGCTTCGCAGCATGGCAGCTACCGCCTGTCTTACAGGAGAAGATGAGCAAGAGGGATAGCAGGTCCTTTGCAACCTAATTTCAGAAGTGACTTCCCATGTCTTTTGCCATATTTTGTGAGTTGGAAGCGGGTCATTAGGTGCATCCCACATTCAAGGGGTGGGGACTCCACAAAGGGGTGACTGCAGGAGCTAGGGATCATTGAGGGTCATCCTAGAGCCTGCTGCCACAGCCAGGGAGTGGAGGAAGCTGAAGAAGTGTGCAGCCTGAAGCGGGAGAGGGCCCAGGGCTGAGCTCTGGGGCCCTGAGGAGCCTGACAGCTCAAACGGTGGCAGAGCAGGAGGAAACTGGGACAAGGAAGAGACTGAGAAGCAGGGAACAGTGTGTAGGTTTGGGGAGCAACACAAACGAAAGTCATTGCTTGCAGTTTTCAAAACTTAGTTCTCATCTAAGCCCTCTCAGACACGTGTTAGTATTCCCATATTCCAGATGAGGAAACCGAGGCTGGGCGAGGGTTGTAGGGATGGAGAGAATTGGATGGGTTCAAAAAGTGCTCGTTCGGGATGGATTGCAGGGAAGGGTGGGTGAGGCAGTGAGCAGGATCCTGGCAGACAGGATTTGGTGGTTTCTATGCAGATGGGAAATGTTGCGAGGTCTCCTTATTGTTCTGTCGGGGGTGACTCATCCAGATTGGCTTCCATGAGACCTGGACTTGAGTGGGGCCTCCACGGTGGCTTGGAAGCTGCTCCCCACCACAAGCCATTTTCTCTTCTCTTGCAGCTTTGGATACCTCCTGCCTTTGGCTGTCGACCCGAGTATGACAACGGATTGGAGGAGATTGTCTTTGGCTTTGAACCCTGGATAATTGTGGTCAACCTGGCCATGCCTTTTTCTATTTTCTACCGAATGCACGCAGCTGCCTCCCTCTTTGAGGTCTATTGTAAGATATAGTCTGGGTCCACAAGAGACCGAGGAGTGAGCTAACAAGAGAGTTCACTGGAACCACCTGGGAGTGGCCAGGTTGGACAAATATTGCCTGACAAATATGAGAAGGGCCGCCTTTTGTCTGCAAAGATTGCGCTTCCTGTGGGCTGGAACTGCCCGTCACCCCTGATGAGTGTAAACAAGTTAGATCAAAATCCGAGAGGTGGCTGGAATCTGTCCTTGGTTAGTTAAATGCTAATCAAGCCGAAATTATTCTATTCCCTTCTAAATGATTTAGAAGAATGTGATTATGGTTTGGGAAAGAATCTCTCCAGTTTGTTTTTCATAAAAAGTGTTTTCTGTGTGTCATTTATCATGTGACTCCATACAACCTTCTCCTGACCACCTGCCTAATAATTTATACTTAAAAATTTTATCCTTCTCAAAGCTGATGAATTGTGACACAATCACATTGAGCTGATATTGTTTCTGCATAGGTTTAATTTCTTGAAGTTACTTTTATCATCTGGATAGAAATTTGTGTACAGGCCAATATAAAAATATATTTCTTATCTGAAATGTTGGCACATTTTTGTGATCATTTTGAAGTATTTTTAAAAAGAAATTTCACTGTTCTTTCAGTGTAAATACATACATGTTTATTGTAAAAAAAATTGAATATTTCAGAAAGGCGAGAGAAAAAGTCACGTATGTTGCCACTGTTCAATTAATGATTACTTTTTTTTTGAGACAGAGTTTTGCTCTGTCACCAGGCTGGAGTGCAGTGGTGTGATTTTGGCTTACTGTGACCTCCACCTCCCAGGTTCAAGCGATTCTGCTGCCTCAGCCTCCTGAGTAGCTGGGACTACAGGCGTATAACACCATGCCCAGCTAATTTCTGTATTTTTAGTAGAGACAGGGTTTCACTATGTTGGCCAGGATGGTCTCGATCTTCTGAACTCATGATCTCTTCCCACCTCAGCCTCCCAAAGTGCTGGAATTACAGGCATGAGCCACCGTGCCTGGCCAATATTTACTTTTAATATCTTGATGTATTTCTTCCAACCATGTTGATGTGATTCTTTTTGTTGTCATTATTATACTTTTGAATGATGATGCAACATATTTGATTTTGTATTCAGTTATTTTCCCACTCAACAATATGGCATAAACTTTGCCCCCATATTGTTATAAGTTCTTTATAAATATCATTTTAATGCTGTAAGATAGTCTATCAAGTGAATGTACCTTAACTAATGTAGTTTCCTATGGCTGGTTTTAGAGTGTTTATAACTTTTTGCTTTTATAAGTAACTCTGTAAAAATCAACCATATCTGTGAAGCATTTCCCATATTTAGAATTGCTTCTTTAAGATACGGAATTACAATTAGGATGCCTAGTCTAAAGATTAAGATTATAAATAGTTCAAAGGTGTCTAAGGAGTATTGACATTTAGGAGGCCTTTGTATATGTTTTTCCATAGCTATTTTAAAATTGTAATAAAATTAGTTTTCTTACTGTAAGTATTAATGTGAATATCTTTTCATTTGAGTGTATTTTTTTCAGGCAGTGAAGGCAATGGGATAGCAAGAAATACAAAGTTGTTTTCTTTTTTAATATGGGTAAAATACATTTATTTTAGAAAAAACTAAAAAATAGGCATAGATACTAAAAAACAAAGGAAATCATCATCTATACATGTCCCATCTAGAGAATCGGTTCTCCACCTGGGAATCTTGTTCCTTGAGGGGACATTTAGCAATATCTGCAGATATTTTTAGATATTTATTTTTTAAAATTAAAATAAATTTAAATTATACATAATATTTGTACATACTTATAGACTACATGTGATATTTTAATATAAACATATAGTAAGTAATAAATCAGGGTGATTGAGATATTCATAACCTCAAGTGTGTATCTTTTTTTGTTAGAAACATTCTAATTTCACTGTGTTAGTTACTCTGACATATACAGTAAATTATTGTTAACTATAGTTGCCCTTTTGTGCTACCAAACACAGTTTAGATTGTTACACTACTGCACCCAGGGATACTGCTAACACCCTACAGCACAGGGGACACCCCACCCCAAAGAGTCATCCGCCCGAGTGTCCATGGTGCTGAGGTAATCTAGCAGTAATTGCTCTTAAGTTTTGTTATCTAGGTAGCTATTAGCACACACACACAGGGTAGGCATGGCGGCTCACCCGTGTAACCCCAACACTTTGGGAGGCTGAGGAGGAAGGATCGCTTGAAGCCAAGAGTTTAAGACCAGTTAGGGAACACAAATATAGAGTGAGACTCTGTCTGTCCAACAAAACAAAAACCCACGTGAGTTGGGGCATGCCTGTAGCTACTCATGAGGCTGAGTGTAGAGGATCACTGGAGCCCAGGAGCTTGAGGCTGCAGTGAGCCAAGATCATGCCACTTGCACTCCAGCTTGGGTGACACAGTAAGACCCTTTCTCTTAAATAAATAAATAAATAAGTAAAATATGTTTTGAGATGGTGTCTCTCTCTGTCACCCAGGCTGGAGTGCAGTGGCATGATTTCGGCTCATGGCAACCTCCGCCTCCTAGATTCAAGTGATTCTCCTGCCTCAGCCTCTTGAGTAGGTGGGACTACAGGCAGCTGCCCTCATGCCTGGCTAATTTTCGTATTTTCAGTAGAGATGGGGTTTCACCATATTGGCCAGGCTGGTCTCGAACTCCTGATCTTGTGATCCATCCGCCTTGGCCTCCCAAGCTGGAGTGCAATGGCGTGATCTCAGCTCACTGCAACCTCTGCCTCCTGGGTTCAAGCGATTCTCCTGCCTCAGCCTATGGGGTAATTGTGATTACAGGCGCCTGCCACCATGCCCAGGTAATTTTTGTTTTTTTAGTAGAGACAGGTTTTCACCATGTTGACCAGGCTGGTCTCAAACTCCTGACCTCAGGTGATCCACCCACCTTGGCTTCCCAAAGTGGTGGGATTACAGGCAGAAGCCATCGCACCTGGCCAATTATTATTATTTTTTTCCAGAAGTACACGCACACCCACACTCACATGAAGGGAGTGGTTTTTAAATACACTGCATTTGTGTGTAATTTGCTTTTTTCCTCTTGATACACCAGAGTGTTTCTTCCCTATTTTGGGTCTCAGGCATCGACGCTCTGGCTTTTGTGTGCTTGAGACACATCTGGGGAACTTGTTAGGATTCCTGCCCTCCAAGCTGGAATGGCAGGTTCAGTCTGGAGTGAGGCGCAGAAATCTGCACTTTCATGAGCATCTCAGGGGGTGCCAACTCCCTTTGATAAGCATCTCCTTGGGAGTCCATGGACGCCAAGTTAGGATTACTGAGCAAGGTTCCTTGACATTGTGTATCCATGTGCAGTATGATTTTGGGTGGCTTTAAAGTACCTTCCATGGAAGGATGTACTATTCCTTACTTTTTCAAACCGTGATGTTGGACATTTAGAGATATTTAGGTGGTTCCTTTTTTTGGTCTTACTATAAACCATGGTGAGCATCTTTGTAACTGAGTCTTTGAGGTCAGTGACAAGCTGTCCTCTGGAGTGATTTATGCTGACTCAGCAGTGACCGAGCAGGAATACTGGTTTCCCCATTTTGGTTGGCATTGCTTTTGCCCCTGATCTAAGCACATGAGGGCAGGCCTGAGGCCTCAGCTGTGGGTTTTGGGCTCTGTCAAGGAGATAAAGGAGCCATCGTAATGCTGGAAACAATGGATCCAGGCTGTGGGGATGCTATTGCGGATGAGAGCAGCATCAGAAAAGCCTGCATGGCGGGCCCGGCTCCGCTTTTCCAAGAAAGGACCTAAAGATGGATGGAGCATCTCTTACCCCCAGCAGGCAGCCCCAGGGATGGCTATTTCAGCCAGGCGGTTTTTACTGCCAAGTAGTTAAGCATCCTGACTCAACCAGCGTAGGTGGCAAGAAAAATTGACTATCTTAATGTCGAGGCAATTTGCCAAAGAGGAACCAGAATGTGCAATACACAAGTGTTAAGATCTCAGGTAATAATATGGGGAATACATATTGAAATAATAATGAGTTACCACTTCCCATTTATCAGATTGACAAGAGTTGGCAAGATGTGAAAGAAAGACTCACCTATAGTGCTGAGGGAACTATGTCCTGGGCACACATATGATCAGGACAACCTCTTACTACAATGGACTGAATGTTTATTTCTCCCCTAAATTCATATGTTGAAACTCTAATCACAATGTGGTGGTATTAGGAGGTGGGGTCTTTGGGAGGTAATGAGGTCATGATGATGAGGCCCTTGTGAATGAGATTAGTGCCTGCAAGAGGGGCCAGAGAGCTTGCGCAGCCCTTGTCTGTTACGTGAGGATGTAATGAGAAGACAGCTGTCTGTCACCGGGAAGAGGGCCTTCACCAGAACCCGACCATGCCAGCACCCTGACAGCCTCCAGACCCGTGAGAAATAAGTGCCTGTTGTTGATTAGCCACCCAGCTTGTGCTATTTTCTCACAGCAGCTTGCTCCAAGTTACTCCTTGACCTGCTGTAACTGTATACAGGAGGGGCCTGTGTGTTTGGTAGCTTCAGCTCATCCCTGAGCCCGTGAAACTGGGATTTGAACTCATGTATTTCGGGTGCCATGACTCCTGCCAAGGCAGAGTGGAAGGGCAAGTGCATGGAGTCATGTCCAGGGTGACAACAGGCTCCCATGGTTCCTGTGTGTGATTTAAAACAGCACCCTTTCCACAAGACATTCTCCAAAGTGTTGAACCAAACCCACCAGCATCCTCCCACTGCCCATGCCCAGGGGCAAATTAGACCTGTTTGTCTCGCCACCACAAATGTCAGCCAAAAAATCCAGTTGGAAAATGCTTGCTACTGCCTTCCAGGTGCAAGACCCTCTCAGCTAACAAAGCCCTTCCCGCACCCATCTCCCTCCACGTCGGTCTGTGAGGTCCCAGCTCACAGCTGACCTGGTTAGATGACATGTACATAGTGGGAGCATCTGGGCGATCATGCCGGTTTTAAAAACTCCATTGCCTTTTCTCTTAATTCGTCATATCACCTTAAAAAAAAGTCAACTCAGTAAAAATGTCCGTCAAACAATGGCTCAGGGATATGCGTACAGAACAATCAAGTCAGCTGACAGAGTATCTGGCCTTTCACCCAATTATAAAATGCTGCGCTTTGCTTAGCATGGTGCGTCTCTTATTCCCAACAGGCAGCCTCAGCTGCTGTTCAAAGCCGCTGCCGACAGCTGGTTTCTCCGCCCAGAATGCGAGCCCTGCTATGAGAGCGCGCGACCTGCAGGGGGCGCCGGCGCCCTTCCCGCTGCGCCTTTCCCCGCACTTCAGGGCAAGCCTGAGAGGGGGCACCTGGCCAGGTAGGCAGTGGCCTCAAGGGGTGGGCGCAAGGTGTGCTGATTGAACTCCATTGGCTGCGCTGGGTTCCTGCAGCGTGTGTCAGAGACGCCAGTCACCACTTCCCGGCCAGGACCCAGCCAGTTTCAGCAAGGACAGTTCCTCCACCGGACCCACAAGGTCCCACTCCCTGCAGGGCACCCTGGTCCCTATCAGGCTTTGGAGGAACTTGGGGGTTACAGGGTGTTCCCCTGGTGGGAGAGTCCCTGGCATTCGGGTGTGGGTGGGACTGAGTGGGGTGGGGGAGGCTGGGGCAGCTGGCTGAGGAGGGGGCACTTCTGCTGGGTGTGATGGGGGAATGAATGCGATATTACTTCCTCCTGAGAGCAGCCGCTAAGGGGACGCTGGGAAGGGACAGGTGGGAGCAGTGTTTTAACCCACAGGTGGGAGGGTAATTCTGGCATGGTGGTTTCAGCAATCTTAGTAATGCAAGGACCACCATAACCGTGATAGTGAAGCTGCTTGTCTAAAAAATGTAAATCATCATGCCTGTAATCCCAGCACTTTGGGAGGCTAAGGTGAGCGGATCACCTGAGGTCGGGAGTTCAAGACCAGTCTGTCCAACATGGAAGACCCTGTCTCTACTGAAAATACAAAAAAATTAGCGGGGCATGGTGGTACATACTTGTAATCCCAGCTACCCAGGAGGCTGAGGCAGGAGAATCGCTTGAACCCAGGAGGTGGAGATTGCAGTGAGCCGAGGTGGTGCAATTGCCTCCCAGCTTGGGCAACAAGGGGAAATTTTTTCCCAAAAAAAAAAAAAAAAAAAAAGTAAATCAAATCAGGTCACCTGCTAAAAATAGTTCAATGGCTTTGCACTGCCTTTTTTTTTTAATTTGAGGCAAATGAGACAAAGTTTCACTCTTGTCATCCAGGCTGGAGTGCAATGGCACAATCTCAGCTCACTGCAACCTCCTCCTCCTGGGTTCAAGCGATTCTCCTGCCTCAGCCTCCTGAGTAGCTGGGACTACAGGTACACACTACCACACCTGGCTAATTTTTGTATTTTTAGTAGAGATGGGGTTTCACCATGTCGGTCAGGCTGGTCTCGAACTCCTGACCTCAGGTGATTCGCCTACTTTGGCCTCCCAAAGTGTTGGAATCACAGGTATGAGCCACTGCGCCAAGCCCTCCCATCGCTTTTAGTAGAGAATACAAACTCTTACCTATGGTCTATTGAGACTGTCACGATCTGGGCTCTGCAACTTCACCGTCTTCTCATGCCAGTCATGTCCTCTACCTCCCCTCCCCCATTGCCCTTCCTCCTGCACGGCTGCAGCCACACTTGGCTTCCACTCTTGAATATTCCAACCTTGCCTACCCCACAGGACTTTCGCACGTGCTGCTCTCTCTGCGTGCACTTCCCCTGGCTCCGTGCGATGATCCATCTTTCTCACCCTTCAGACCGTGTGTAGATAGATGTCCCTCTGTGATGAGGTCTTCACTGGCCAGCCCATTAGGCTTCACCTCGGCACCTTGTCCACCCCTTCACAGCCTGCTGTCATCTGTGATTTCCTATTTATTGGTGCTTATCCAGTCCAGTCCTGGATGGGACTGCCCGCCTCATGAGGACAGGAGCTGTGCCTCTCCTCTCCCAGGGCCTCTCTGAGGTGGTTGCGTGGACATGTGGACCACCCTCCCAGCATCAGACTATCACAGGGCTTGGAAAGGGCCAGGTCGGCCACCGCGGGCCCTGGTGATCGCCACGTTTCCTTCTCTAGTTTTTGAGACCTTGGCGAAGATCCCCAGACTCACGCCCTGACCTTCTTTCTCCTTCAAGGCACAAGATGGCGCTTTAAGCCTGGTTGTGAGAAGGAGGCCTGCAAACACATTCCTTCCCTCCGCTGCGCTCGGACCCTGCTTGCCAGGGGGTCCGTGTCTCCACCTCTCCAGAGCTTGGTGGGTGGGTTCTGTCCTCCTCCTCGGACAAGGGAGAGCCAGCAGCCAGTCACTGCTTTCTGCCGGAGAAGGAAGTGGAGCTCAACCTTTCTGACGGCAGCAAGGGCTGCCTGCAAGCGTCTGGCGGGCATCTCTGGAGCATCAGTTTTGGATGATCATTCTGAGCCAAGCATCTTTGATATCAGGGGCAAGCCTACTACCCCTTTGCTGGAGATGGGCATGGAGGTGGGCACGTGAGGAGTGCCAGCCCAGGCACTGACAAACTATGGCTCATGAGAAGAATGGATGGAGTATACATTTTTAAAGGATCATCTCTCTCTCTCTCTCTCACACATGCACACACACATGCACACACACACACACATGCACACACACATGCACACACACACACACACAAAGCACCCTTGGGTTCTAAGCTATGGGGTCTAAGCTTGAGTGTACATGCACAGAATATGCTCCAGAGATCGTACGTGGCTGACAAGCCTGACGCACTATCTGGCCCTTTATTGGAAATGCTTGCCGACCCCTGGCCTGAACCCTGAGAGGTAAGGGGCCTCTGGTGCACTGCCCTGGAGGGATTTTGGTCCCTAAATAAGAAGAGGTGTGAGGAAGCCTGCCCTTCCTCCTGGCCTGAATGTGCTTGTGAGAGGCCGTCAAGCCTGGCGCTGTGGCAGCCGGCTTGTGACCATGAAGCAATTAGCCGGAGAAGAAAGGCCGACCCGCCCAGGAGGGAGCAGGAGCCTGGGGCCACGATGACACTGCTGGGCCTCCATGTGACCCTGGAACCACCTTCCTCTGGACCTCTTGTGACGGGAGATAATTCAACGCTGTCATTGTTCAAGCGGGGGTGGGCAAACTTTTTCCATGAAGGGCCCCATGGAAAACATTTTAGGCTCTGTGGGCCATAAGATGTGTTGCAACTATAAACCTAAAGACAACCACAGACAATGTGTAAATGAATGGATACACCTATGTTCCGATAAAACTTTATTTATAAAAATAGGTGGTGGAGGCCGGGCGCGGTGGCTCACGCCTGTAATCCAAGCACTTTGGAGGCCAAAGCAGGCGGATCACCTGAGGTCGGGAGTTCAAGACTAGCCTGACCAACATGGTGAAACCCCGTGTTTAAAAAAAAAAAAAAAAA